CATTTTCATAACATGGTGGGGTTTTTTTTTGGCTATGCAGCCATAGTATACTGAATTTTGAAAAGCACTGATTTTAGAAATCACAGTACGGCTGTCGGCTGTGCTCATGATGCTGACTGCACAATTACCCAAACCACTTTTAACAATACAAGCATCCAGGCAGTATGATTCCCATTTTGCTAGTTAGAGCTGGCATAAGAAGATGCAGCAATGTGTTATTCTGATTAAATTCCTTGTAAAATTGTCTTGTGTCTCAGGATCAGTCCCTACTGTTCTGAGCTCATCTGTCTAGTGAGGAGTCAGAAAAGCAAAAGGAGAGATGGAATATTAAATGCTTTCAGAAAATGAAGGGGAATGTGCACTAGCTTTTAAAATGAAGCAGCATGTATCGTTTCTCCTTCCATTGGCTGTTTATCCAACATCAATACAACACTTTAGGAGCCAAATTACTAAACAAGCTGCCAATTAGGCTTGCAGTCAGCTGGATAGATTAGTGGCTAAGAGAGGCAGATACAAGATTTTCATCTCTTGAGCCAATTACGCAAGTGAATTACCATCCACAATGCTCCTTGGAAGATTTGAGGGTAGAAAGACTGACTCTGCTGTGATAGACATAAGTGAGATCCAGGGTAGGGGGTAAGGGTTAGCAGGCCATGTATTGCAAAAATTACCCAGGCAAAAAAAAGATCCTTCTAGGAAAGGATTTAAAGGATTTAAGGCTGCTGGGAGTGATAGAAGAGGAAATAATAGTTCTGGTATGTATGCTCTGCAAAGTCATTGCTGTTCTGCTCACAAGTCTTAATCGTATAAAAGAAAGATGAAAGGCCACGACTGTATTTATGTACAGTGTCATTTTCTCAGAACTGTTTAAAAAACACACACACACACAAAAAAAAAAACAAAAAAAAAACCCACACTTTCTTAGATAGGGTTAAGAGATTGAACCTAGCAATATTCTGGTTTTAGTCACCCCAATATAAACTAAACGTGCTTTATTCTTATCCACCAATTGGGCCGTATAAATATTGTCACAATAATGGCTTATAGGATCACATTTCCTTTATTATTCTGTAATAAATGATAACCTAAATAGTGATATTTATTTTTTTTTAGAAGCATTTTGCAAATAAAATTTATCTGTCAGACCAGAACTGTGCACAGGCTCATTTGTTTCCTGCTGGAGATGTTGCACACTGGTGTAGCATTGTTCCTTAAATATGAAGCAAATTTAAAACCTGAACTTTTGCAAGCTGTTGTATCCAAAAATGATTAAACAGATGTGGAGCCTGCAGCAGCATTAGACCTCTGATCTGATTTTAGCTTACAGATGGAATTAAATTAATTCATGGCAATCACTGTAAAATCAAGGGTATGGCACTGAATGCTAGTGTACTGTTTAACCAGGACATACCTGTCTCAACAGCTGTTAAGAAAAAACGACATACCTTTATTTTTCATTGAAACATGCCTTTAATGCTGTCATAAATATCATACCAAAATTAAACAAAATTTTTTGTTTTCCCCCTTCTCAGTTTTGCCTCTCTGCTCAGAGCTTCCCTCTTCCGTGTATGTAATGTCATATGTGTAGACCTTGAAGTGTGTCTGTTCATATACACAAAGGTTTTAGGATTGTCTTTTTTTTTTCTAACTTTCATTTACCAGTATTGCAAAGAGAAGGAACATAAGTGAGGACATTTTACAGTGCTGTCTTTTCAAGCAGGTTGCTGTTCCTCAGTGTTTGCTCCTTGCTTGTGTAACGGCAGGCACTTTACATGCAGACTACTCATCTGCAGCATCAAGTTGTTAGGGTTGCTAAAAATATTTTGTCTGTGCGTTCCTCGTAACTCCTGGAACCCCACAGAACCTCACAGAGCAGTAAACTTAGAAACAGGTTTTTCTTGCGTGGGTTTTGCATGGTTATGTTTTGTAGGACAGTGCAATGGGTTATTTTGCTCTTGCTCCTGGGTGGGTCAAGGCTGATCACATCCCAGAGATAACAGCCACTTTCAAGGCCAATGTGCTTGGACCATTCTCTCTAACAGGCCCTACTGGCTAGTCCAAGAAGTGCCATAGGCATGAATTAAAAACTGAACTTGAAGATGAATATTGAAAGGACAATTACTGCTTTTAATTAGAAAATAAAAGCCCAAAGCACAGGAATGGGGGTCAGGGGAACAGTACGCAGTGTAGCCTGATTTTTAGCAGCTCTCTGCTGTCAGGCAATCAACCAGCAATGCAGATTTTGTCTTACAATTGCCGATTGGTGGTGTAATGGAGGAAGAGGGCAATACCATTGTCCATATTCCTCTGAATCAAGTGAAATATGTTGCATTACAGATAAATCTTCCAAATGACGGTTGAAAATTGCAGGGATATTAAAGACAGATGTAGATATTTGTGTGAAACCTGACTATTGAAAAGGAGTGGTCTGCATATATTAAATATTTTTCAAAATTAAAAGCTATCCATATTCACTTCATTTGCAAATGAAGGGGTAAGAGAAGGAGTAAGTGGTCAATTAGTATTATAGGCAAGTTGGGTGGCATTCTGATTTGGCCTTATTCTTGCTGAAACACAAAGCCTCCAAACACATCAGCCTTTGGGCACTGTATGTTGTCTGACTGTTTGCTCAAAAGTGGGTTGTGAAGCCAAGTTTATGGTGGTTTCTGCTCCTTTTCTTTTCTGTTTTTTAATCTGGTGATGAATAAGAGCAGAACTCTTCAGGAGAGCCTTCAGTCTTCTAACAGGACACACAAAAGTATGTACAGTGGAGGGGAAAATAGTATACATTCTAGAAGTAATTATATGTCTTTAAAAACAAAAGTATTCCAATAATCCTGTCAGTCACAGAAAAAAACTGCTGAGCTACTTCAAAAAATATCAAAACTAGAAACATCAGTTTATTAAATAACACAATTAATCTTTCATTTATTTTTTTTGTGAGGTGGCTCTGGCTGTCTTTAGAATTCAAATCCATATAGAAAGGTACATCTGTTACAGGAAAAGGTCTGTGGGTCTTTCCTCTAAATAGACTAACAAAAAAGCTGTTTAAGTTGTCTCAGGCTATGCCTTGCATATCATTCCAGCAGCATGGCTGTCTATGCCTAAGCATCATTACAAATGGCTTCATTTTTCCAGTACTTAGATGCCATGAAATACAACCTTGCTCTTTCCTGCTTGGCAGCTGTTAGATCATTTTTCCCTGTCAAGTTTCTCCCTTAATTATTCCAAGGATGTATATTGGAATGATGTTCCATTTCTTACCATCACGTGTTGTAAAAGGTGGACCAAAACACACTTTCAGGATTTTACCTGAGAGGCTTACCAGAACCTTAGTTGAACAGTGACCTTTTTTCTTTCCCTTCTTTGACCTAGAAAGTATAACTAAGAAGGTTGCAAAGCCTGTGTTGTGTATGCCAGTCAGTGTCAGGGACTTGTGTATGAAAATTGCATCTGCCTGTGGGGGCCTGAAAAGAAAGGAAGTTTGGACATTGAATTTTGTGCTGGTCAGTTCAAGAGGAGCCCTCTTGGGGATTGGAAGCTGCTGACTTAAAAGCCTTTATTGTAAGCATAGCTTCAAACCAGTATTAAAGGATGCCTCCTCTCAGTCCGTTTCCTTTGACTCAGGAACTAAGACACTAGAAAGCTATCTGCCTTTTATGTAGCCAGTACTGAGTGTGAACAGATCTATAGTGGATAATTCTGGACTGTGCTTACTGATAATACTGTAAATTCATCATCACAATCATTGCAAGGTTTTTAACATGCGCCTCTCATTTGAACTTCTGTCTGAATGTGGTTTCTTCTGTGTGTGTTCTGAGGCTTTTCAGAAGTGCACATTCAACTTTCCTTGTGCTCTTTAGTGAGTTAATACAATTATGACCCAGCTTGTCAGTGGCAAAGTCTTGACTGAAGACATTATAGTCCCCAAAAACACAAAACCATAGTCTCCTCCTACCATATTTTTCAGAAAGTAGCAGGCCAGAGTGAATAGGTAGAAAGTTGAACAGATACAATTTGAAGCAGGGCACATGGTGGGATTTTGTTCTGTTATCGGGGGGAGGAAGATGTTTAGCAAAGCTGAAAACAAAATCCAGCTACCCATGTGCAACGGCTTATGTTAGTTCAAAAGCTACAGCCCTTTTTAAAATAGTTTGGTGTCATTTGATAAGTTTTCATGCAGATTCTGGAAATAAATGTCATCTGTATCTCTCATGTAAGACAGTTGTATATGGGAAGGCTTATTCATGCCTCATCTCCATATTCTAGCTCGAGGAATTTGGTTGATGAAGGGAAAAAAAAACTGCTTTGTTGCTTAATTTTTATGATGCATTCATGGAAAAAAATAAAATCTGTTATCAAAAAATTAATCTTTTCTATCAATACCTGCAATCATGATGATGTTTTCTGCTGTACATGTGCAGCTTTTCTCAGAGATCTCAGTAGTATGGGGGGAAAAGTATAAACAACACTTAGTGGCATTGAAAATACCAAAAGCAAACTCCCATGTGTCAGATCTCTCTTACAACGTTCAGTAAAAGAGAAACTGCGTAAAAATATAGCTGAGTTTCAGAATAGTAGACCACTTATTGCTAATAATGGAAAGATGGTTGTGTTACTATGATGTGCCTCGGCTTAGTAACTGTATAGGACCAGAAATTCAGGTAATCTTGCAGATGTATTGGTGGACTTGTTTAGGTGATGGATGTTCTTAGATGTAAAATCCACTGTGTTGGAATATAAAAGATCTGTGACACTGTCTGTCATTCTTGAAAACTGAATGAGTCTTTAAAAACATTAAAAATAAAGCAAAGCGTAAGACTATATTGTTTAGAATCATATGCAACCAGGAGGTCAACATGTGCAAAGACAGCCTGTTCTAGCAACCCGTTAGATGAATTAGGAGAATAAAGAAGGTTTAAAGCTTTAAGGGAGATTATCCTGCTCTTCTCCACATGGCAGGCAGTGCTGATTAATGCTGTGTGTTTCTTTAATCTCAGGGTTTGTAGGTGAAAACACCCAACCAATCCCAGAAAACAACATTGGGAACAGAATGCTTCAGAGCATGGGCTGGACCCCTGGTACGGGCCTAGGACCGGACGGCAAAGGGATTGCAGAACCAATACGAGCTATCCAGAGACCAAAAGGACTCGGACTTGGATTTAGCTGACAGAAATGCGCTCTGGCTGCCTGATAAAAATAAGGCTAAAAATTAATTTTAAAAGACACACAAAACAAAAAAGAAAAAGTAAATTTACATCATTTGTTGTGATCAGCAAATCCTGTTATTCTTCTCTCAAAGATCACTGAAGTCAATCTGCTTCACATTAGCTACACCAGCTGCAAGGTACAGCCACAGTGACAGACCCGGCATTCAAGTCTTAACTTTATAATGGTGCTAAAATGTACAAAAATTTCTACTTTTTTAGTTTCTGTTGTCTTAAAGTTTGTATTCAGCATAAAATTCCATATATTCACTTCTGGCACAGCAGGTTTTAGTATATAAGCAAATTTACTTCTTCTTTCTGTAAGTATAATTTCAGCTGAAGAATCTTGATCAGATTCATCAGGGAAAACAGAACTTTTTACAGCTCTTGTGTTTCCCCCCTTTTCAGGCATAGTTTCCAAACCTGGTATTTCTAGTGTTTAACAGTATTTGAGGATAAGCTGTCATTTTATACACGTTTCCCACTGGAAGGTGATATGGTATGCAGTTTTTGTATAAGGGCACGAAAAATGGCTTTGTTGTCATAGGAATGCCATTCCAACGCTATTATCTGGCAATGTATCACTGTCTTCCACATTGAAGCTCAAAAGTAAAGCTTTTATACTTGTTTTTACATTCACAGGATTATCTTTTTTCATCAAATATTGTAGAAAGTTAAAGTTTGTTCTTTGGATTTCACTTTATATTAATATCCTCGGTGTTCCCACATTTAGGAACAGTTTGAACTTTGAACCAGGAAATTGTATTTTATTGATGACCGTCTTTCAGTGTTTATATTTGGGGGGGGTGTGCATATCTTAAACAATACAGTGTTCAACATCATGTTATCACTTGGTTTGTGATCAGGCTGGTGCCAGTGAGCACCACTCTAAGGATCATGAACAGAAAAAGGGCAAGGAGAAGCAGGATTAGGGTGGAGGAAAGGAAGGAAAAGGATATTTTCATGGCATCTCACAAATATAAGCTAGCAATTTAAAATCAGGAAGGATCATTAAGTGTTTTAATCACTATCCTAATGTGTCTAATGTCAGCAAAAGCAATTTCATTAGGCACCAACCAATCAAGCTCCTAGGGTACTTATTGGTCTGCCGTATAAAACAAATTCCACTTTAAAATTAAATGATAGGGCTGAAGGAAACTGTTGTTCAGATGGTCTAAGGAGAAAATCCTGCCCCTGTCCCTGCCCACCCCTGTAGCAGCTGGCAGTATTTATCGTGGCTGCAGAGGGAACAGGATTTGAGTGTCCAGTCTTCTTTTTTTCTTCAAGAGAGGGGTTTCTCCCTCCCTCTACTTCCACACAGAAGAGAAAAATACCTACTTCCAGATGCTTGCAAAGATATTCCCTTGGAATACACAGAGCACAACTTCCTTCATGTGACTGTGAAATACGGTGATGAATTTTAAGAAGAGCTTTTACTACTTTTTGTTTTCTCTCAACTTCACCCATTTTCCCAGAAAAATAATACTAGGGGAAAAAATAGCAGTGTTATAGCTTTGAGTTTGCTTAAAAGAAATGTTCATGTTTTCCAGTGTGCGTGCTGTCAGGTTGGGTATGTTGTTTCATCATACACATAATGTAGACTAAAATGTTAGTACCTGATGCTGGTTTTAGTGATAGCTGAATGCACCTCTTCTCTGAATTTCAGAAGAACTAATTATTTATTGCTGTTTAAATACTTGATAAAATTGTGTGGTTTTGCTTTTGGAAATGGTAAGACATTTTAAACACGCTTGGCATTTATAATCAACACGTATACTCTTTATTGGAAGGTTTTAAGGCATAGCTCCATGCGAGTTTGCCACTTAAACTAAGTTAAATACATTGCACATCCAAACAATTTCAGGGCCACATATTGCAGAGGGCTAAGAGCCTGGAATTCTGCAGCTAGCAGAGATACTGACTTGTGTGTTATTTCCAATAATGAATTGATGTTGCGTGCTCCTGTACTTTCAGTGCGATGTGCTACTGAGAGCAAGTTAGTTCTAAAGATCTCTTTGTATTGTACACCACAATCAAAAATTCCTTAAAACAACTTTCAACATGTGAATTGTGAAAGTAAATCTTTAAGTTCTGGTTGGTTTTGCTCTATTTGCAAAACTGTAAATGAATATTCGTTCTCTGTTAGTATTCCATTGTTTTGCTTTGGTTGCAACACCTGCATGTCTTGGGCTGGAAATTCTAAGTGTGGCATTTATAACCCTTGTTTGAAGTATTTCTGTGCAATTTACTGTAGCAGTAGTTCCTCAAGAAATGGGTCTGTGACTCAGAAAGTACGTGAAAAAAAATTTCCTGTTTTAAAACGATAAGAGGGAAATAATGGATACATGTTGAGAGAAAACCTCTTTAGCCTATTCATCCATTCATACACATACAGTGAAGTGGCCAACATAGGAAACAGCTGTAATGGAAGAAGTATTTGTCTGACTGGAAATTTTACAACTTTTTGGTTTAGATCAGCCTATTAGCGAGAAACTTTCAGACGTCTCATAGGTGCCACGGCTGACTGTCAGCTTTGTTCATTTTAAGCTGCAAAGTGATTTATTAAAATACTTTAATGTAGTGCTTTAAAATATTTTTTTGTTTCAGTAAAATTCCCCTTCTGACTCATACTCTCATTTTGTTTCTGTTTTCTCCATATCTCATAGTAGTGGTTTTAAAGATATTCTGGTAGTGTGATTTTTCATAGTTAAAAATAGTGTTAAGAAACAAAACAAAAATTAATTATACTTTTTCCTTTGTTAAGCCATTACATTGTTAGTCGGCTTTGAAACGTGTCAAAGTACTTGGACTTAATGAAGGGATTCTTTAGGTCTTTCTTAAACTATGATACATGCTATAATGTTGGCTCACATTACTTTAAAATACATATAGAAGTATTTTCAGATAATCATTCGTAATGACTGTGACACTGAAGGGGGTTTTGCCTACATAAAGAAGTATGGGATCATCTTGTATCTAAAAGGTATCATCCATCTTGCCAGATTCTTTCCATTTAGGTGTTTGATCAATCAGTAGCTCAGCTGTTACCATAGTATTCTTCTTCTGCAGAATATTTAGTGAAGAGACATTATGTATTATCGCATTGCATTTTGCTACGTGTTCCATGGTGACTCAAAAGTTCTGTGAATTGAGCCATTAACTGTTAATAAAAGAAACCCATGAGCACTGTCTTATTTTTAAATAAGTATTTGTCCCAAGTCAGAGAAGCATTGTCTCTATTCTCATTTGAGCAAGTTTGTCCCTGCATTTGTCTTTCTGCAATTAGGTCAATAATGGGTGTAGAATGGCAGTAAATAGCTAAATAATATGTATAGAATGCTTTGCTTTACCAACACAAATGCAAGATGAAATAAAACAAATAGACTCTGTTCTTGAGTTTTGTACGTTCTTTTCTTTAAACTGCCCTTTTCGGTAGCATTGTTATTGCACAACCAAGGACAAAAACATGCTGTTTCTGAAATATAATTAAGGTTGGAGGTATCTTTTACCCAGCAGATGCATATTCTGCTAAAGCTACTATACTCTTATATGTACCTTTTTACTAGTACTTCTTTCTAGGTGGTTATTATCCAGCTGAAAAGGTTACACCACGCCATGAAAAAATGCCTCATTTAAGATGTTTGCAGTACTTTTGTTACCATATTTGTCTAAGATGTTTAAATACAAGTTTTCATGACTCTTTAAGAATATGTATACTCAGACAACTGTGAAAGGACCTTGTGCTTTTTCGTCAAGCAGTTCTCCAAAATTGTTCCTTCAAGGGTAACTTGCACAACCTTTTACTTTACCTCTCCCCATGCTCCCAGGGCAGTTTCAGTAAAGACCTATCAGAAATGGGGATCCCTTCCCTCTTACTCTAAAATCAAGAGACATTTTAATCAGACCTTCACACCTAGCAGATTTTTTCAGGAGCAGTGGCATAGCTCGCACACGGAAACCGCATAACCAAGTTGCTCACATTAGAGTCCCATACCTAAGAACAGTATGTATGTTCAGTCTGAAAGAACATAGTCCAGATTTGACTCTTTATTGACATGTAGTCCAGCTGTAAAGCTCATGTAAAATGTTAAAAGAGAAAATGGCATTTTTAAAGATTATTACATGGTTTTGCTTTGAATTCTCCCTGGAAAAGGTTTCATTGTAGTCAAGAGGGTTCATTTTACAGGTACAGGTTTAAGATAAGGATTTTCCTGGGTTTTTTCAATGACCTCTATACTGGAGAAAGTCTTGAGGAGGTGCAGCAGTTTCAGCATGGATGTTCTGCTTGCCTCAAGTCAGAGGTTTTGCTAAAAAGAACTATGCAAAATCTTTACCAACATCGATTGATACAAGCTGTATCTACTGTCTGCTAAGCTATATGGGAGTTTGTTCAGTAATTCTGTCAACAATCTTTTTAATGTAAGTGTGCTTTAAGTTATTGTGAAAAACTACAAAAGCTTCATGACTGACTGGTAGTAGGTAAATCTGATGGAAAGCACAGAATCATTAGGGTTGGAAGAGACCTCTGTAGATCATCCAGTACAACCCTCTGCCAAGGCAGACCCACCTAGAGCAGGTTATACAGGAACATTTCCATGCTGGGTTTGGATGAGGAGAGAGAGGGAGGCTCCACAACCACCCCCGGGTAGCCTGTTCCAGTGCACTGCCACCCTCAACGTAAAGAAGTTCTTCCTCACAGTGAGGTGAAACTTGTGTTTTATCTTATGACCATTGCTCCTCATCCTGTCACTGGGCACCACTGAGAAGAGTCTGGCACCAACCTCCTGGCACCACCTTTGAGATATTGACCTGCATTGATGAAATCCCCTCTCAGTCTGTTCTTCTCTAGACTAAACAGGCTCAGGTCTAGCAGTATCTCCTCGTAAGATGCTCCACACCCTTGTTTGGGCCTTCTACGATTCTCTTCTCCTGTCATTACAGCAAAACAGACTCAACAACAGATATGTTGAGTGTGAGCATGTGTTGTTTGTATTTGAATATTCAATCTTTAAATAAAAGGCTAAAAATCACTGAGATTATGTAAACTTGATCTCCTGCAGCTATGAGAACTGTTTCATATAATTATAGGATAGTTAGGGTTGGAATGGACCTTAAGATCATCTAGTTCCAACCCCTTGTTCCAACCCCTTGCCATGGCCTGGGACACCTCACACTAAACCATGTTTTTAGTAACAGCTATGAAAAGTGGTTCAAATTAGTAACAGGTATTCCATCTGTAGAAAGTTCTCATTTTGGCCTGACTTCTTGGAGCAGATAATGGAAGTATTGAAGAGTCTGACTTCTGAAACTGTGAATATAAGTCATTGGTCTCTGAGGAATGGATGTTTTATTGTAATATATTTACACTGATTGAATATGCAAGCTTATTAAAATATTATCTTTCAAAATATTTGATCATAGGTGTGCTCAGTTTAATTGTGCCTTGTCCTTCATGTTGTCTTTCTTCCTTAATATTTGTCCCTTTTTTTGAAAAAGTGTAACCCTGTATGTATTTTGTGATAATACCCAGCATTTTCTGTCTTAAGTGTAATCTCATATATGTGCCAAGTGATGCCTCTCAAGGTTCTCTATCATTTCTAGTAGTCTAGTGTCTTTCAGTATGTTCCTAGGCCAG